CAAGAGCGAGACCCGTCTCTACTATAAATAGAAAGAAATTAATTGGCCAAGTAATATATATAGAAAAAAAACTAGCCGGGCATGGTGGCGCATGCCTGTAGTCCAGCTACTTGGGAGGCTGAGGCAGGAAGATCCCTTGAGCCCAGGAGTTTGAGGTTGCTGTGAGCGAGGACCCCCAACCTAGAGAAGAACCTGGAGGCCCTACCTTCTGAATCCATGCAGACTGTATGGTGCTGGCCACCAGAGAAGCCCACCCAGGACTTGGTGGAATTCTTGAAGGATGTTAGGTTCTGGGGTATGAAGCAAGATTCTGTGCCTTGAGTTCCTGGGGGAAAGGCGAGAATAGAGCTGTCAGGGTGATGGTGTTCTGGGAGCTGCCCTTCTCAAGCTCCACGCAGTGAGGCCACCCCCATCAGGAGATGGATATTCTCACTTTACAGGTGACAAAACTATGGCTCTGAGGAGTTAGATGACCCTTCAAAGGGTGCACAATGAATGACTGGTAGAGCCAGGACTGGAAACCAAATTGCTGCTCATGCCTGATGCTGAGCTTGGGACTTACCAAGCTGATGGTAGTTCGAGAGGCCAAAGCCATATACGTGGCCCTCACGGGAGATGGCGAAGGTAAAATAGGCACCACAGAAGGCATCCTGGAATTTCACATGGCCTCGGCTTCCCCTGGATTTCAACATCACACACTTAGGGACCAGGAGTCGCTCTGTAGGCAGAAGAGGAAGTCATGGTTAGTGACAGACAGACACACCTGGCCTCTTTTCTCTCTGCCACTGAGTCTGTTTCCGTTGCATTACAAAAGTCCTTGGAGGGAAGCTAAGCAGGGACTCTTATCCCGATTGTATAGAAGAGGAAACTGGGGTCAAGAGAATACAAGTGTCTTGCTCAGAGTCCCACAGCCACTACAGGTAACATTTACACGGAACCTACCATGTGCCAGACATTCTTCTAATAAATCCATTTAACTTCACAACAACCTAATGAAGTGGGTTTGGAGGTAGGTAGGTTTAGGGGTGAAGAAACTATGTTCAGAGTCCCACAGCTAGTAAGTGGCAGAACCAGGATTCAAACCCAAGGTTGTCTGTCTCCAAAGTCTGAGTTCTTAACCAACACTGCAGGTCCACCTGATGCAAGCTGGAACACAGAGAATCCCTCCTGCCTTTGGTCTTTGTCGGGGTGTGGCTTGCCAACTTGACCTGCTGGAGGTATCAAAGTCACCTACCAAGGCCCTGCCGGCCACCACGGTTGGCAAATAACTCAGGCACGCGGCCCAGCTGGCCCTGCTCCCCGCAGCCCAAGGTGTAGAGGTCACCGTCAACTGTGAGCATCACCAAGTGGTCATTTCCTGAGGGTGAAAGCAAGGCAGTGATGCAGGGCTTGTCTATAAAGCCCAAGGCTGGGCCAGCCTCAGAACGGGGTTCTCAGTCTCCTGCCCACAGCAAGTGCCCCCAGACTCACCTGAGGCTACCTTCACCACAGGAGCTTCCAGCTGCACCTGTACAGGCACCATGCTCTTCTTCATGGGTTCCAACAGCCCGATTACACCGTTATTGTCCTAAAAGGGAGGGACGGAGCACTTCTGGCCAGTCCTGCCTGCTCTGTACCAGTCTAATCCAGACTGGCAGGCAGCCACAGAGCTGTCTGGTGAAGGGCAATGGTACTAGCTGGGTATGGAGAGGCACACAGGAGCCAGGCTACATTCTGAAACATTTATGAATGAAATCCTATGTGGTCTGGGATTTGCATTAAAATAATCAAGGAGTGGGGTAGTGGATGGGAGTGGAAATAAACAAGTCTGGCCACATGCTGATAATTGTTGAAGCTGTGTGGCAAGTAGATGGGAGTTCAATTATTCTGATTACTTTCATATGAGTTTGAAATTCTCCATAAAAATTTTTAAAAATAGCCCTGATGAGGAAATACCTCATCAGATTCCTTTATTTTTGACATTTCAAAATAAATTAAATGCTAAAGTTCCAAAACAATTTTAATGCTGAATCTGTTTTTTAAACTACACTCCCCTGCCTTGGAAACTCTGAGATATCTAAGGTGTGATCATCCCTGCCTCCCTGCCCACCCAGCTCTCTGGGAAGGGTGGAAGAGGGCTGGAAAGGTGAGGGGGACGCTGAAGGCAGGGAGATGGGCGAGGACAGCAGGCTTCTTGGATCAGCCTCAACCCGGGAGCATCCTTGACCTATTCCTTGCCTAGGAAATACACTTCATAATGCCAGAGTTAAGGAAGCAGCCAGTGACCTGGGTCGGGCCTCAGCTCTACCTGTGGGCTTTCATCTCCTCAACAGTAAGTACAGTGGGGGCATGGAGGTGGAGTATCTTTGGGGCCCCATCAGTTAATTCCACTTGCCAGGCCCCATGCAGTCTTCCAGACCCAGCCTTACCCGGAAGGAGCCCCAGAGGAAGACACGGCCGTCCTCAGTGAGGGCTGCTGTGTGACTGTCTCCTGCTGACACCTGTACCACCTTCTCTTGCAGTTCCACTTTCCCAGGGACCGTCTCTGAGCCCTCCACTGATGTGTCCCTTCCCAGGGCACCCTCGTCATTGCAGCCGAAGGAGTAGACCTGTGCCGAGGATACCCCCATTAGTGCAAGGTCTGGCCTCTCAGCTCATTCCTGTTTAGGCCACTCCCTGCTTGGCCAGCCAGCCCCATCTCCACAGCAAAACATGTGTGGCTCAAAGGTTCTGTCCCAATCCCCCGACCCTAGGCCTTGTCCAATCCTGTGCCAACCCCCACAACCTACCTGGCCATTTTTGCTTAGACACACGGTGTGCATGCCCCCAGCCTCCGCCTGAACGATATCCTCTGGAATGGACACCATGGCTGGCCTCTTCCTCTCCATCACATTCTCACCTAACCCCAGCTGGCCCACGTCACCCTGGCCCAGTGTCAGCACCAAGCCTGGTTCTGTGCTGTGGGACCTGTGTGAGACTGAGGGGTAAAGAAGACAGCCCTGAGTGTGCAGGATGACAGCAGAGAGGAGAGGTCAGTTCATGGGCTCTGGGATCACACAGACCTGGGTTCAAGCCCCTGCTCTGCCACAGACCACCAGTGTGACCCCTTCCAAGCCTAAGTTTCCTCATCTGTGAAATGGGGATAACAAAAGTTCCCATCTCGTAGGGTTTTTGTGAAAATTAAAAACTGAACACATTAATGTGAGAGGGAGGAAATGGAAACAAGGAGACATTCAATACTGTCCAGTGAATCGTGGTTGCGAGGGTAAGAGGACAGTGAGGACATAAGATGGTTTTCCTAATTAGCTGTAAGTTATTAGTAAAGAGCCATGGCACCAGCAGTCAGATAATAATGTCTACACTTTACTGACTGCTTTACTCTCTTACTTCTAAATTGCTTTGTGATCTCTCAAATTATGCTTAAGACTTTTGTTATTTAGGATCCCAATTTATATGGAAGGAAACGGAGCCTCCTAGAAGTTCAGTAACCTTCCCAGGGTCATAAAGCTAATTAGCTGGGTTTGCCCTGAAACCAAGGGAGACCATCTGGGTCAGAGCACAGTCCTCAACCTCCAACCTAGGCCTTCTCTACCCCCGGGCTGTCATTTTCAACTCCTGGACATATTCACAGAAGAAAACCATCCCCTTCCTCCCCTCTCCGGCAGTGGACCAGCAGCTGAAGAGGAAAGGGCAGGAGTGAGAGCGGACAGAGCCACCTGCAGACAGGTAGGCACCAACCAGTGGGCCGCATTGGGCCTTCTGCTGGCCAATGAAGGCCGCCCGTGGCCCCGGACAGCCAATGGTGTCCAGCCCCTCCCCCCGGGGGTGTGGCCACAGCTGCCAGGGCCGCTGCGGCTGCGCAGAGGGTGCCCTGGGCAGGGAGCCACCTGGTCGAGTTTTCTGGTGAGGAGGGCTCGGCCCGCAGGCACCTTGGCGGGAGCGGGCGCCAGGAACGCGGCGGGAGGTAGCAGCCCTCGCGCCTGCAAAAGACAGACACTGTCTGAGCTTGGGTCCACACTCCCTCCTCCCAGCCTGGGGTGGCTCTTCCTTCTCTCCTCCCTGTCCTCCTCCAGGGTCCCAGATGAGAGGAAGCCACAGCCACCTCCCTTAAATGCCGCCAGGACATTATCCCATTTAATCCTCATAACAGCCCACAGAGGTTGGTGCTGCTCTCTCCTTTATTTTATGAAGTGGATAATCCATACTCAGATAGGTTAAGTGACTCAACCATGGTTACACAGCTAGAAAGTGGCAGAGCCAGGACTTGAACCCACTTCTGGAAGTCAGTGGTCCTAACCATAATGCATTACTGCCCTGGGCAAAGCTCTAGGACCTAGTTTTTTTTGCCAGTACTGCCTTTTAGATGAGTCTCGGCCCCTTTCTGATTCCCCAAGGGTGGGATTCAATGAGCTATGGGAAACCCTTCAGCTAGGTGGCGTCCCTGGTCATCCAAGCCCCTCAGCTTCAACAGTCAGGGAGGAAGGATTCCAGTCCCAGATTCTCAGGGCTCCAAGAGGCTGCTGGCACCCAACCCAGAAAGAGGAGAAGGCCAACTTACCCTTCACCTTCTTGATTTTGGGGATGGCATCTTCTGGGGGTGATCTTTTCTTAGCTATGCGCTTGGGTGGCATTTTTGCGTCCTGAAAAACCCAGTCAAATACTACGTGTCAGAAATGGCAAACATTTTCCTAATTGGCAATATTTATCAAAAAAAAAAAAAAAAAAAGCACACTAAAAAAAGCAAAGGAGCGGGCGGGCTCGGGTGGCCGTCACGCCGTAATCCGTAGCACTCGGCGGAGGCCAGAACGGGGGCGGATTGCTTGAGGGTCAGGAGTTCAAAACAAAGCCTGAGCGAGAGACCCCCACTCTACTATAATAGAAAGAAATTAATTGGCCATTAATATATATGTAGAAAAAAATTAGCCGGCATGGTGGCGCATGCCGTAGTCCCAGCTACTCGAGAGGCTGAGGCGAGGAGGTGCTTAAGCTAGGAGTTTGAGGTTGCTGTGAGCTAGGCTGACACCATGGCACTCACTCTAGCCTGGACAACAAAGCGAGACTCTGTCTCAAAAAAAAAGCAAAGAGGAATTGCCAGCAATTCAACTTTCCAAAATTTATCCCGAGAACAGAATAATGCCATGCCCACAGGATTAAGTCGCCAAATATTCTCTACTGTATTCTTTATAACATTATAAAAAACAAGAAAAACAGAGCAACCCATGTGCTCAATAGTAGTGGACTAGTTAGATAATAATATATGGTATATTCATGATAGAACAGTATGAAGCCATTATAAGTGATACTTTCAGGGATGAAAGTATCACCATTGCCAAGTTAAACAAGCAGATTGAAAAACAGTCCATCATCTCATTTTTGAAAAAAAAAAAGGCATTACACACATAAAAATATGTGTAGATAAATGAGTGGAAGAAAATATATGCAATATTAACAATGGTAACCTCTAGAAAATGGGATTATGACAATTTTTGCTTTTTTCTTTATACCTTCCTATATTATTAATATCTAAGATGTTTGACAAAGAGCATTAACATGTGTTTTCAAATCTTGTGTTGCTGTTTAGAAAAAAAATTAAAACATTGAAGAATAACATTAAGTGAACCATCCCTCATAACTCTCTCCAACCTTGAGATAACCACCATAACTTTGGTGATGCATTATTGTTATGATCAGAGAGGGGAAAAGCTGTTTTCATTAAATGAAACCAAAGTAGGCTGGGCACGGTGGCTCACGCCTGTAATCCTAGCAATCTGGGAGGCCGAGGAAGGTGGATTGCTCAAGCTCAGGAGCTCGAGACCAGCCTGAGCAAGAGCGAGACCCCGTTTCCACTAAAAAATAAAAAGATTTTTTGGTATAACTTAAAAACTATATAGAAAAATTAGCTGGTGCATGAGTGGCACAGTGCCTGTAGTCCCAGCTACTTTGTGTTTGTGTGTAAGCAGAAGGAAATGGCTTCAGCCAGGAGGTTTGCGGATTTTTTGCTGGGCTAGCGCTGATGCCATGGGCACTCTTAGCTGGGCAACACAGTGATATGTTTGTTCAAAATAATACAATAAGGCCGGCAAGTGGCTTTACGCTGTTATTCCTAGCACTTTGTTGTTGCCGAGGCGTTGTGTTCTGATTTGCTCGGAAGGTCAGGAGTTCGATTTCTGGAGTATTGAGCGTGTTTATCTCTACTATTTAATAGAGAAATTAATTGGCCAACTTATAACTTTATATTATATATATATAAAAAAAATCTAGCCGGGCAATGGTGGCCTGTTTTGTTTAGTCCCAGCTACTCGGAGGCTGACGGCAGCAGGATGCTTGAGCCAGGAGTTTAAGGGTTGCTGTTGTTGCTATTGGCTGATTGTTTTCACGACCATTCACTCTAGCCTGGGCAACAAAGTGAGACTTTGTCCCAACAACAACAAAAAAAATATACAAAATAAAATAAATTAAAAACAGTCAAGCTGCCTAAGCCTGGGGCTTCCAAACTCTAGTCTGTGAACCTTCTGGAATGACCCTGTGCTTTGCAGCTATCCAGATGCAGAAGTGGTCTAGCATGTGGTGGTCAAGGGCATAGCCTCTGGAGCCAGAATCTGAACTACTTTCCAGCTGACCTTGGGCAGTCATTTAATCTCTTTATCATTCAGTTTCCTCCTCAGTAAAATGGGGATAATGGTACTTATACCTTTGTAGGATGTGTAGGATTTTAAGTGAGCTAATAATGTGAAAATTCTTACATAGTAAGTGCTCAATAAATCAATACTGGTGTTAGTACAGTGTCTAGAGCCTGCCCTAGGCAATACTCAGGCACAGCCCAATCTGGGAAGCAGAGATCTAATCTAAGCCACCTCTTCTTCATTTATTAGATGAGGGACAAAGACGCTACTACCTAAGGATACAAATGGAAGGAGAACTCCAAGAGCCCTTCTCAGTCCTGGCTGTGGGCCATACCAGCACTTCCTGCCTCATTCATTCCTTCCCCTAAGAGCCGCAGCCTCTCCAGCTCTCCCCTCCATGGGACATAAGCACAAGACCAAGCACTTTTATGCTGGTTACCCTGGGGCAGGAGAACAAAGTACTAAAGATGGGAAAGTAACCAAGGACCTAGAATCCTGCCAAGCCTGTATAGGCTGAGCTTCTGCAGGTTGGGACTGGCCGGGTTCTGACTCTGATGAGGTGGCAGTTCTGAACTTCATCCAACTTTTTCCTCCCAGAGGTGGGACTCCTCCCCTCCAACCTGCCTCTTTGAGACCCCTCTCCTAGGGCGACTTCTGGGGCCCCCTCTCTTGGAGCCCCAGAACCTTGTCCACGAGTAAAAATTTAAATAAATATTAAAAAAAGGAGAGACACCTCTCCTTACACTAAAAATGCATGTTCTTTGGGATGAGAGGGAATTGGGTTTGCCTTCCAGGGCTGTGGCTTGCTCACCCCTATCCTTGTCACCTTGGCTGGCCAGCAGCCTTAACCTCTCTGAGCTGTATCTTCATCTGTAAAAGGGGAGGCAATGACTACTTCTCAAGCCTGTCATCAAGACTGAATGAAGGCCCGGCGCGGTGGCTCGCGCCTGTAATCCTAGCCCTCTGGGAGGCCGAGGTGGGAATGCTCATGGTCAGGAGTTCAAAACCAGCCTGAGCAATGACGAGACCCGTCTCTACTATAAAATAGAAGAGAAATTAATTGGCCAACTGATATATATATAAAACAGTTAGCTGGAAATGGGGGGCGCATGCCTGTAGTCCCAGCTACTCAGGAGCTGAGCAGCAGGATCCTGAGCCAGGATTTTGAGGTTGCTGTGACTAGCTGCCGCCATGGCACTTACTCTAGCCTGACAACAAAGCGAGACTCTGTCTCAAAAAAAAAAAATAGACTGAATGAAATGTTTGTAAAGGACTTCACAGTGCCAATCACACAGCAAGTATTCAGTATATGGCAGTATTCATTCATTCATCCCATAAATATTTACTGAGTGTTTACTACTACTGCTTGGCTTTGGGCCAGGAGGTTGAGCAAGGAAAAAGGAGACTAATCCTCTCCTTACTCTCATGGAGCTTACATTCTAGTAAGAAAGAAAAAAGCCAAAATTATTACAGCTTGTACCATGTGATATGACAAGAGAATAACTTGGGTTTGCACAACAATGTGAATATACTTAATGCCACAAAACTGTACACTTACAAATGTTTAAAATGGTAAATTTTTTTTTCTATATATATTAGTTGGCCAATTAATTTTTCTATTTATAGTAGAGACGGGGTCTCGCTCTTGCTCAGGTTGGTTTCGAACTCCTGAACTCAAACGATCCACCCGGCTCGGCCTCCCAGAGAGCTAGGATTACAGGCGTGAGCCACCGCGCCCGGCCAAAATGGTAAATTTTTGTTATATGTTTTATCACAATAAAAACAAAAAGAGAATAACTTGGGATAGGGGAAGAGAGTGGTCAGGGAGGTAGCATTTAAATTAACACCTGAAATATAAGAAGGGAAGACCAGGGGAAAACATCCCAGCCAACAGTGCAGTGTGTTTAGGAGCCCAGGGAGGCCAGTGGAGCTCGGGTTGCGGTGGTCAGTCAAACGGGACAAAGCAGGCAGGGGCTGGATCACCCAAGCCTTGCAGGGAAAATACTGAAAAGTTTTAGGTAGAAGAATGTTTTCATGAGATTTGCATTTAATTAATTTACTTTTGGGGGACAAGTCTCACTCTGTTGCCTGGGCTGGAGTACAGTGGTGTCACCATAGCTTACTGCAACCTCAAACTCCTGGGCTCAAGCGATCCTTCCTCCCCCACCTCCCAAAGTGCTGGGATTACAGGTGTAAACCATTGAGCACTGCCGAGATTTGCATTTTAAAAAATTGTTCTGGCTACTGTAAAGAAAATGGAGGCCAGGTGCGGTGGCTCACGCCTGTAATCCTAGCACTCTGGGAGGCTGAGGCAGGATCGCTCAAGGTCAGGAGTCTGAAACCAGCCCACAGCCCAAGCAAGAGCGAGACCCTGTCTCTACTAAAAATAGAAAGAAATTTAATTGGCCAACTAAAAATATATATAGAAAAAGTTAGCTGGGCATGGTGGTGAATGCCTGTAGTCCCAGCTACTCAGGAGGCTGAGGCAGTAGGATCGCTTGAGCCCAGGAGTTTGAGGTTGCTGTGAGCTAGGCTGATGCCACGGCACTCTAGCCAGGGCAACAGAGTGAGACTCTGTCTAAAAAAAAAAAGAAGAAAATGGAAAGGACTAGAGTGGAAACAGGCAGACTTTTTAGGAGACTATTGCAGGCAACCAAGTGAGAGATGATAGTGACTTGATTTGCTCTGAGGCAACAGAGAAAAGTATATGAAATAGATCAATTTAGGAGACAGACTAGATTTGCTGGTGGATTAGATGTAGGGAATGAGGAAGGGGGAAAAAAATCAGGAATAACTTGATCATAATAAAAATATGGGGGATCCCTGGCTGACCTGTCCAGGATCTCCCATGAGCTTGGACAAACGCAAGGACACCCAGGCTTGGGCTTAAATAACTAGGTGGATGGTAGACTTCCATTTAGTGAGATGGAGAACACTGTGGAACCAACAGGACAGGCGAGGCCTGGAGCCTCATTTTACCAGGTGTTTTCATTAAGTCCAAAGTGCTTGGGAGCCATCCGAGAAAGGATGTTAGGTAGGCAAAGTTAGATGGGTTAGAGGTGTGGGATATAACAGATATCCTCTTGTTTTAGGTAGATGGCTGTGCTCCACGGCAAATATCCCATCAACTCATCACAAGGATCTATAGCAGTTAGCTGGGCCCAGGGGAGTGTAGTAGCATGGAAAAGTACTCAAACAAGAAGTCAAGTGAAAAGCCAGAAAACAGAATTATGTCAGCAAGTCTGGTGCTGATGCTGGAATGACCTGTGAGCAGAGCCTGGAATGTCGTCAGACAAGAAGGGCTATGTGAGGTGGCTGGTACCATGGGGGCACTAACAAAAAGGAGCTGACCCAGTCAACATCACCTTAGCCACCTGTTGGCTAATGTCCTGGGGCATCTCATTGCAAGCTGGCCACAACACTCCCACTCTACAGATGAGAAAACTGAGGTGAAGTATCTTGCCAAAGTTTTAGAAGAGGAAGCCAAGATCTCAACCAAGTTAGTCAGACTCCAGAGCTGGTGCCCTTGAGTGTTACAAGAAATTGATTCTGCCTACTTCCTCCCCTAGGAAAGACTGCACCTAGCAATCTTGTCCCCATTGGTGCAGAATAGAAAAAAAAAAGGATAAAAAAAAGAAAACACAAAATTAAAAAAAAAAAAAAAGACTGCGTCTTGTCTCTGATCTTCCTGCTTCCCACCCCATCTCATTCCCTAGGTCATTCATGATCTTTCCAAACCTCAAACTTGACATAAGCTGCTTGCCTGCTCAGACTCCTTCGTCGTTCCTTCTGCCCAGTTGATAAAGCCCACATTTCTCAGCCTAATACCAGAGGCCTCCAGGGTCTGGTACTGACAGAATGTCTTGCTTCATTCCTCATCTGTCCCATCCTCCCTTCTCTTCCCACAATTTGTCAGTCACACCAGGCTGGACTGCTAACTGTCTTCTCTCCACGCCCTTTGCATCTCTTTACCTCGAATGCCCTTCCCATTCCTTATCCCACTGGAAAAGCTTCTACTCCTATCTCAAAGTCACCTCCTCTGGTAAACCTTCTCTGAACCCTCCTCCCATCCTAAACTAATCATTCTCTCCCAGAGAAACTGGGACAGGCTTTTGGATCATGACTTTTAATTTACATGCCTAACAACTATACCACTCTACTTCCTAAAATACGAGCCCCTTGGGGGCACTGGCCACTCATAGTGTCTTCCATATGCAAAAACCTTTTACTTCTCTTGACAAGCTAAAGAAGGGGGCACTATCACTCCTATTGCACAGTTAAGGAAACTGAGGCTCAGAAAGGTAACTTTATTTGCCTAAGTTCACACAGCAAGTAAAGGAGAGCCAGAAAAAGAACCCAGGTATATCAAATTGATTTAAAAAAAAAAAAAAGGAAAATGAACAGGTCAGGTAAAGGCAGACCATGATCCAGGCAGGGACGAAGGCAGCCTGAGCAGGCCCCCCAGCACCCCCATGAGCTCAGCCAAGTACAAGGAGCAGAGAACAGAAGCCAGCTGAGAGAGGATGGTGAGACTAGAGAAGAAACACTGAGGCAACTAGGGCCTGAGGGAGGCTACATGACAGATCCACTGAAAAGTATGGGGAAGGACACTGGGTACAACTCCCTGCTACAGTGGAGAGAGCACTGGCTCAGCCCTACAGACATAAGTTCTCTTTTGCCCCAGATTCTTCACCTGTTCTAGGCCCTGCACTGGGCAGAGGGGAGGAGAGGCTACCTTCTAAAAGGTGGAGCCCTGTGCCCGAGACCTGCCTATCCTCTGCACAATTTAGTCCTTTGTACAGACTCCCTAACTGCCCTGGGTGTGTCTCTTGTCCAGCCGTGAATATCTGGGACGGGAATCAAGTCCTCTTTTGTCCTTGTGTTCTAGCCCCTGCAGCCTCAACATGGCTTCCATGTTCAAGGAGCTTAAAATCTGGGAGAAGAGTGAGATACAGTCACAAATAAAAGTCAGATACTGTGTCAACTTCCACTAACAGGCACTCATGGTGTGTCAGCCTCTTCTAAAATGCTCATACCCATCCTCCTGGTGGTGGTGGTGGGGGGTGATCACCCCAGGTTTACAGTTGAGAAGAGGCTCAGGGAAGGTGCCGCAGGCCATACAGAGGTGGGATGAAATCCCAGGTTTCCTGACCACATCCAGCAGGGTCAGAGCAGCCTCACTCCACCTCAGTTTCCTTACTTGTTGAAGGAAGGGGGTAGGCACACCAGACTAGACAGTCCACCAGGAGCTTGGTGCTCCTGCTATGACCCCCTGTGACCTCACCACAGCTTCATTTCTGCAAAGGGAGACAGACACAGCAGCTGTCCCCTCCCTCCCCCAAGCCAGTGGCAGAACTTGCCAGCCAGACTCAGAAGCTGAAGAATGTCTTTGTGTAGAAGGTCCCCAGGAGGGAAGGGAGGAGAAGGCACATGTGTCAACAAACATTTGCTGAACTGCTGTTATGCCAGGCACAGAGCTGGTATATTTCACACCAGGAGTTCCTCACCGGGATCCCCCCACACCTCCGTGTACAAGCCGTGCCTGGGCCTGTGCATTCATTTCTCCCATAAAGGGGCCACGGCTTCCACCAGATGTTAGACATTCCCCACATGCTTCTTACTTTCATTTTACAGATAAGGAAACTAATCTCAGAGGGATTGAGTGGGTCGCTCAAAGGCACCTGACTAGAAGTTGCAAAGATGAACAGAACAGGATTCCTGCTCTTGGGATGTCTTTGAAACATGAGCTTCAAAACTCATGAAAAACGAACTCCCAATTCATCTCTTTAAGCTCCACTCTGATGCCCCGCTTGGGTGAAACCTTCCCCGCCCCCCACCTTACCCAGTGTCCCTTGGCCTTGCACACCAGCCCTTGCTGTATCTTGTTACTATCCTCCTCCAGTCACTAAAAAATCTGGGGTATCCCGGACCACAACACTCACCTATACCTCCCTGCCTTTGCTTGTGCTGCGCCCTCTGCCTGGATCACCCTAACCGCACCACCCCCAGGCTGCCTGAATAACTGGTCCTTCAAAACCCCGTTCAAGCGTCACCTCACTGGAAAACCATCCCGTAACACTCCACACACTCAACTTCTGCTAGGGCACACAAGTCACTCGTGGTCGGAGTTCAATTAATATCTGATGAATGAATGACTGGCCTGCAGCATCGCCCCAGGCTCCAAGTGCATACTTTGGTGATCACACCAAGGCAAGGATGGGGGCTGGACCATAACAGCGGGTCACATGAGGTCTCCCCAAGGAGTCCCGGAGTACCATAAAGGCCACTCGGGGCCCGCCGTTCTCACCACTGTCCCCAAGTCCTGCAAGAGCGACACGGAATAGACAGCCAGCAAATAATTTGCTGACAGACTGAGCTGATGCGGAGTTCACGGCACACCGCACCAACTGGTCAAAAGTCGTCATCTGGGTGCCTGTTGACGCTGAGGTTTCTTTCCCTGCAGAGGACCCCCCTCGCCACCCACCCTGGAGCTCCCAAAGCACACCCTCTCCCGCATAGGGTTCCCTCCCTGCTCTGCAAACCGCTTTCTCCAAACGATTGCTGGACAAAACCACCTCCCTGCTGCAGAAACGCAGTCCCCGCCCGGGCGGCCGCCCCAGCCCGCGAGCCGCGCAGGTCTGCGCGCCGGGGCTGGCGAGGTCACCGCGGCCGCGCGCACCGCCCGCCGCGCTCGGGCCGTTTGAATCTCCCGCCAGCGCGGGCGCCGAGGGGCGGCGTAAGAGCGCGGCGGCAGAGGGGCGCACTGCCCCAGCTCCGGCGAGGCGGGGCCGGGCCCGCAGCCCGGGCGCCCCGCGAGGCCGGGGGCTCGCGCACCCGCGCCGCGCCTTCCTGCCGCCCGCTTCACGTGGGGCCGGCGCCGCGCGACACAGGCGAGAGCCGACAACGACCTCGGCCCGCCGCGGACCAGCCAGTGCTCCGGCTGTGGCCGCCCCGCGCGCTGCCTTCCGCCCAGACCCTCCGTGGGTCACAGGCGCGACCTACCTCGGTGCAGGACGGCCACCAGGAACTCCAGCGCTCGCCGGCCGGGCCGCGAACTGCCCCAGAGCATGCGCTCTGCAGGCCTCCGGCCCCGACCCCGGGCGAGAAAGGAAAACAAAGAGCCCAGCGGCTCCTGGCGGCCACCCAGGGAAGTGCAAGTGGCATGCTCCCTGGCTAGGGAGCTCTGGGCCAAGCTCCTCTGTCCTGGGTATAGTGGTTGTGTATTTTGGAAACCCCAAATCAGGACAAAAGGACGGACAATCAGAAAGATTACTTGAATCTGGGTTTGTTTAGGAAAATATGGTGCGGTAGGGTCTGTACAGAGAAAAAAGATACTGATTTTCCCTGCCCTCAAAAGAGGGTCTCCGTGGAGAACGAGAAATCAAATTATCAGCAACCACACAGGGCTATGACAAGGGTACACATAGGGTCATCTAACTCAGCTTGGGACTTAGGAATGGCTTTCCAAGTTAAGGGCATCCTAGGAGAAGCGGTCCTGCAATGACAGGGAGCCATGAGAACTCAGGGAGGTCGTGGAAAACTGCCAAGTAGACTAGAGCTAGGGTACCCCTGGGGTGTGTCAGGGTCTTGGGTGTCTAGGGAGTCCGGCCTCTTTCCTGAGGCAACTGAAGGGAACTACAGAAGGGATTTGAGCACAGGGATGACCTGCGCTCAAATGAGGTGACCTCTCAGGCCATTTCATTGTGTCTGGGGATTGTGTCTAGCACCCTCTGCAGAAGGTATTTTCTCCATTCAATGTGGATTCTGACTCTGAAAGTCATCGTATCGCACCGGAACTACCTGAACTCTAGAGGGACACTTTTGATGCATGTTTCGCAAGCTGAATTTCTTCTACTATGCAGAACCCACCCCAGAGCACTTCCCTGTCTTCAGGGTTTCTTACCTCTCCAAATTTACTTCTGCCTCCATCTTGTATTCCTCTTTTGGATGATATACTGTGAAACTTCTCCAAGTTGTAACCCTGGGATCTTTAATCTCTCTGCTGTCTTCTCCAAGATCTTACTCATTCACGTGGCTTAATGTAATTATAAAAAGTGATTATTATTATTGCCTATTTTGTAAAACCCTCTATTTTAACTACAGAAACACATTCATGTCCAGAAGCTCATCTGTTCCTCACAAAAACCTCATGATGATTGGGAAATAAGAACAATGAGGTTCAAAGAGCTTAAGCAAGTTTTCTGGGTCATCACACGGGTGGTGGAAGGAGACCTGAACTCTTGTTCAGGGCTAGGCCAAAACGTTTGAACTGACAGGTCAGTCCATCTGGGCTGGTTCTGAGCTCCACTCCCAGTTGCAGTTCTACATCTCTACCCAGAAGACCCAACACCTTAAACTAAGAGTCCAAAATAAAACTCAGGACTTTTCTAGGGTTCTAGACTCCATTCCCCTACTATATCATTCCAGCCAAGGTTAGGGCTCTCTGAAAAGTACAGGTTCAAACCTTGACTTCTTTTCTTTTTTCTTTTTTGAGACAGAGTCTCACTCTGTTGCCCTGGCTAGAGTGCCATGGTGTCAGCCTAGCTCACAGCAACCTCAAACTCCTGGCTAAGTGTCTTCTGCGCAGCTCCGAGTAGCTGGGACTACAGGCATGCACCACCATGCCCGGCTAATTTTTTCTATATATATTAGTTGGCCAATTAATTCTTCTTTTAGTAGAGATGGGGTCTCACTCTTGCTCAGGCTGGTTTAGATCTCCTGACCTCAAGCAATCCACCGGCCTCGGCCTCCCAGAGTGCTAGGATTACAGGCATGAGCCACCGCACCTGGCCTTGAACTGGGTCTTAAAATACATCAAGAATTCAGCTAAGAGACCGGGCACGGTGGCTCACACCTGTAATCCTAGCACTCTGGGAGGCCGAGGTGGGCAGATTGCTCAAGGTCAGGAGTTCGAAACCAGCCTGAACAAGAGTGAGACCCCGTCTGTACTATAAATAGAAAGAAATAATTAGCCAACGATATATATAGAAAAAATTAGCCAGGCATGGTGGTGCATGCCTGTAGTCCCAGCTACTCAGGAGGCTGAGACAGGAGAATCGCTTGAGCCCAGGAGTTTGAGGTTGCTGTGAGCTAGGCTGATGCCATGGCACTCACTCTAGCCTGGGCAACAGAGCAAGACTCTGTCTCAAAAAAAGAAAAAGACCCAGTTCAGTCTCTACCTCCTCCATGAAGTCTTTAGTGGCCCTACTTATCTTTTTCTTCTCTCAACCAAAATATTGATTTTAATTTTTTTGCACCCTATCATTGTTTTACTTATTGAATGTGAACTCTAAAAAAGAGAACAATTAATTAAACCTGACCCAGATGATAGAAGTGAAGGACATTACAACAACTATTGTTAACTGTGTTCTGTATGTTCAAAAAGCAGAGATGGGTGTGGTGGCTCACACCTGTAATCCTAGCACTCTGGGAGGCCGAGGTAGGAGGATTGCTTGAACTCAGGAGTTTGAGACCAGCCTGAGTAAGAGCGAGACCCCGTCTCTACTATAAATAGAAAGAAATTAGCCAAAACTTAAACTAGAAAAAAATTAGCTAGGCACTGGTGGCGTGTGCTGTAGTCCCAGCTACTGGGAGGCTTGAGGCAGGAGGATCACTTGAGCCCATGAGTTTGAGGTTGCTGTGAGCTAGGCTACACCACAGCATTCTAGCCCAGGCAAGAGAGTGAAACTCTATCTCAAAAAAAAAAAAAAAAAAGAGAGACATGGAAGACATAAAAGTCTGAAAGTGAACTTTTCCACATGAAAATTATAATATCAAAGATAAGCTCAATTAGCAGAAAACTTGGTTCCTAAACAAACAAACAAAAAAAAGATAAGCTCAAGGTCAGGAGTTTGAAACTAGCCTGAGCAAGAGCGAAACGCCGTCTCTACTATAAATAGAAATTAATTGGCCAACTAATATATATAGAAAAAATTAGCGACATGGTGGGGCATGGCCTTGTAGTCCCAGCTACTCAGGAGGCTGAGGCAGTAGGATTGCTTGCCCAGGAGTTTGAGGTTGCTGATGAGCTAGGGCTGATGCCACGGCACTCACTCTAGCCTGGGCCAGTAAGAGTGAGACGGATGTCTCAAAAAAAAAAAAATATTATATCATATAATAATATCCATCGAGATGATATGTAAGATGGATTAAAAATAGATTGGTCTCCTGTAAGAAAGTGCTGATTCTTAGAAAAAGAGAAGAGAGATGGAGAAAATAGATTTGGCATGGCGCAGGCGTGGTGGCTCATGCCTGTAATCATAGCACTCCTGGGGGGCCGAGTGAGGCAAATTGCTTGAGGTCAGGAGTTTTGAAACCAGCCTGGCCAGACCTGTCTCTACCTAAGTGAAAGAAATTAATTGACTAACTAAAAATATTACTACAAAAAATTAGCACGCATGGTGGCGCATGCCTGTTCCCTGCTTTTGGGAGGTGAGACAGTAGGACGCTGAGCCCCAGAGATGAGGTCTGCTGTGTAGCTTAGCTGACACCACGGCACTCACTCTAGCCTTGGGCAACAAAGTGAGACCTCAAATCTCAAAAAGAAAGAAGAAAAGAAATAGATTGGATATTGCGAAGAATGATTGGATCTTGGAAGACTTGCAACAGAACTATTCGACAAGAAGGACAGAGGCCTGGGTGCAGTGTCAGCCGTGTAATCTAGCGACTCTGGAGCGGCCCGAGGGGGGGATTGCTCGAAGTCAGGAGTTCGGAAACTAGCCTGAGGCAGGAGCGGACCCCATCTCCTACTATAAATAGAAAGAAATTAATTGGCGCAACTAAATATATATATGACAAAAACATTGCCAGGCAGTTAGCCAGGCATGGTGCGCATGCCTGTAGTCCCAGCTACTTGAGGCTTGAGGGCCAGGAGGATGCTTTGAACCCAGGAAGTTTCGAGGTTGCTGTGGCTAGGCTGACGCACCGGCCACTCACTATACGCGCCTGGGCGAAACAAAGTGAAGACTCTGTCTGCAAAAGAAAAACATAAAATAACAAATAAAATAAAAACTAAAGAAGGATTCCTTAGCAAAACTGTTTTTCTGGGCCTTGGCCAATTGGCTTCAATTCGCTATAATCCTAGCACTCCATGGAGGCCCGAGGTAGGAGAATCGCTCAAGGTCAGGAGTTTGAAACCAGCCTGAGCAAGAGCGAGACCCTGTCTCTACTAAAAATAGAAAGAAATTAATTGGACAACTAAAAAAAAATAGAATAAAATAAAAAAACTGTTTTCTGGCCCAAGATTGTAACATCAACTCTTGCTGGATTCTGGAGATGAGAAGTATGACAAAAAGAAAAGAAAAATATAAAATAAAATAAAAAACTTTTGCTGGAATTTCCAGCCTGCCCTGCAGATTTGGATTTGCCAGCTCCTATGATCCTGTGAGCCGGTTCCTTAAACTCTATCTATCTACCCATCCATTCATCCATCCACACATCCTGTTGGTTCTGTTTCTCTGGAGAACCCTGGCTACCACAAGATCTAAGAAGCTCAAGGAAAGCAAAGCACAAGAAACAAAAGGAAAACTACAAGGTATGTCATCATCAAATTTCTCAAAAGCAGTGATAAGTAGAAAATCTCAAAAGCAGTCAGAGAAAAGACATGTTATATACAAAGGAACAAGACAAGGATACGATGCCAACAAGATGACACTGGAGCAATATCTTTAAAGTATCCTAGCAAAATTATATCCAGTAAAGTATATGTAGCAAAAATATCTTTCAAAAGTGAAGGTGAAATTAGGATATTTTCAGACATACTAAAGCTGAAAGAACTGATGACCAACAGACCCATACTAAAAGAAATGTTAAAGGAAAACCTTTGCATTAAAGGAAAGTGATATCAGATGAGAATTTGGATCTACACAAATGAATGAAGAACACTAGAAATTTAACTATATGGGTAAATATATAATATTTTTTATTTTTAGAAAGTTTAAAAAAGATAATTGCCTGTTTTATTAAAAATACAGTCGGCTCTCTGCCTCTGTATCCTCAGGTTCCACATTTGATCTGATCTGCAGTTTGTTGAATTCAAGGATGTGGAACCCACAGATAGAGAGGGGTGACTGTAATCATGTCCTGTGGGGTTTTAAAAATTTATATTGACACGAATCAAAAGAGATATTTTGGGTTTTATAACATATATCAAAGTAAAATACATGACAACAATGTCAAAGACTGTAGGGTGAGAAATGAAATTACTCTATTTTAAGGTTCCTACACTGTAATAAGTCAAGTGGTATAATATCAATTAAATGTAGACTATCATAAATTAAAGATGTATACTATAAACCCTAAAGCAAACACGAAAATAATAAAGAGATATAGCTAGTAAGCCATGAAATGAAATGAGAGAAAGATACTAGAAAAGGAGGACCAAAAAACCCAAATGAGATCAAAAGAAAACAATTAGCGGCCGGGCACAGTGGCTCACGCCTGTAATCCTAGCACTCTGGGAGGCTGAGGCCGGTGGATAGCTCCAGGTCAGGAGTTCGAAACCAGCCTGAGCAAGAGCAAGACCCCATATCTACTAAAAATAGAAAGAAATTAATTGGCCAACTAAAAATATATAGAAAAAATTAGCTGGGCATGGTGGCACATGCCTGTAGTCCAGCTACTTGGGAATCTGAGGCAGTAGCATTGCTTGAGCCCAGGAGTTTGAGGTTGCTGTGAGCTAGGCTGATGCCACGGCACTCTACTCAGGGCAACAGAGTGAGACCCTGTCTCAACAACAAAAAAAGGAAAAAAAAAGAAAAGAAAGCAAGCAAGCCAGAGTGATTATATATGTGCGTGTGTGTATATTTTTTCTAGCATCATCAAATATCAAGCAATGGTGTGGCTATATTAATAGACATTCAAAGCAAAGAATATTTAATGGAGTTCAATCAAGAAGCATAATCCTAAACATATATGCAATTAAAACAGAGCTTCAAAATATGTGAAGCAAAAACTGCTAGGAGAAATAGGCAAATCCACAATTATAGTTGCTGATTTTGGTATCCACTCAAAAATTGATAGAGCAAGTAGGTAGGAAACTAGCAAGGACACAGTAGACTTAACACTTTCACCCAATTTGAACTGACATTTATAGAACATTTCACCTTTCTTCACATTCCACCTTGTTTTCTTTAAAACAACAGCAAAGTACCCATTCTTTTTAAATGTATTTGAAACATTTATCAAGATAGACCATATTCTAGGTCATAGAACAAGTCTTGGTAAATTTGATAGGATTTAAGATATACAAAGCATATATTCAGACTAAAATGGAACTAAAGTAACAGAAAAATCTTTCAAAAATTCTCAAATATTTAAAAAGTAAAGCAGCCCATAGATTAAAGATGAAATCAAAAGGGAACTTGAAAATATTTTTGAACTGAATTAAAATGAAAATACAACACTCCAGAATTTGGGGAATATTGTTAAAACAGTATTTGGAAGAAATTTGTAGCAGTAGATGCCTATATTAGAAACAAAGAAAAGTCTCAAATCAATGATCTCAGCTTCTACCTTAAGAAACTAGAAAAAGAAAATAAAACTAACCCCAAAATAAAAAGAAAGGAAATAATAAAGATTGAGACAGAAATCAATGAAACAGAAAACAGCAAAACAATAGTCATCAGTGCTTGCTACATGTCATGCACAGTACTAAATACTGAATTACATATGTAGTTCCTGTCCTTTTTTTTTTTTTTGACCTGGAGTCTTGCTCTGTTGCCCCCGGGGTAGAGTGCAGTGGCGTCATCCTAGCTCACTGCAACCTCAAACTCCTGGGCTCAAGCTATCCTCCTGTCTCAGCCTCCTGAGTAGCTGGGACTACAGGTGTGTGTCATGATGCCTGGCTAATTTTTCTATTTTTTAAATCCTCACTTTTGCTCAGGATGGTCTCGAACTCCTGAGCTCAAGAAATCCTCCCTCCTTGGCCTCTCAGAGTGCTAGGATTACAGCTCTGAGCCACTGCACCTGGCCTGCAGTCCCTGTCCTTGAGGATCCTCCAACTAGTAGGCTAGATCGATGTCAAATAGAAAATAATCAGATCGGGAATACTAAGGATCATGAGGAATTCTCAAGGTTCCAGTCCTACCTTCAAGGGCCAGTGATGCCATTCATGTGCTAAGTGGGGGAAAGGGAGGTGAGAATGATGGTTAAGAGTTCAGGCTCTAGAGACCAACAGACCTTCAAATCCTATTCTGTATGACCTTAAATAAATAACCTAATCTTGATTGTTTTCCTTATCTAGCAAATAGATTGAATAATAGTCCCTGCATCAGGGACTATTATTATAGGGCTGTAATGAGGATTAGAGAATGCCTACCCCATGGTAAATCTTCATCAAATTTAGAGTACTATCAAAATATATGGCCGGGTGTGGTGGCTCATACCTGTAATCCTAGCACTCTGGGAGGCCGAGGCGGGTGGATTGCTCGAGGTCAGGAGTTCGAACCAGCCTGAGCAAGACCCCGTATCTACTAAAAAATAGAAAGAAATTAATTGACCAACTAAAAATATATATACAAAAAATTAGCCGGGCATGGTGGTGCATGCCTGTAGTCCCAGCTACTCGGGAGACTCGAGTCAGTAGGATCACTTGAGCCCAGGAGATTGAGGTTGCTGTGAGCTAGGCTGATGCCATGGCACTCACTCTAGCCCGGGCAACAAAGTGAGACTCTGTCTCAAAAAAACAAAAACAAACAACAACAAAAAAACAAAATATATGGGTTCCATCCATGTCTTTGTGCATGGGAAAGACATGCACAAAGACACTAAGAGGTGAAACAGGAAAGTGTGGCCAGGAAAGGACCCTTGCTCTTCAGGAAACTGTACCTACTTCCTTTAGTATTTTCCACACAATCAAGTAAAGTTAGGCACATAGGTTTATAATTCATTGCAACTGAAATTGAGTTTTTATGGTGTAGTGCTTACTACACTAGACTAACACAAAAGTTCTGTGGTTTATTTAAGACAAGGTCTTGCTCTGCCACCCAGGCTGGAGTGCAGTGGCACAATCATAGCTCATCATAACCTTGAACTCCTGGGCTCAAGCAATCCTCCTGCCTCAGCCTCCTGAGTAGCTAGGACCACAGGCACATGCCACTACACCCTAATTTTTTTAGTTTTTGTAGAGATCTTTTGCTATGTTGCCCAGACTGGTCTTGAATTCTTGGCCTCAAGTAGTCCTCCTGCCTCAGCCTCCAAAAGTGCTGAGTTTATAGGTGTGAGCCACCACACCCAGTGGTTTAAGCCAGATGAAAATATTAATATTTCTTGAGGTGTGATATATAGGTAGAATATTGGTTCTATAGTCAATGACCTTGGCACAGATGGATGTTCTGCCACTTTCTGGCAGTATAACTAGGGCAAGTTTCTCAAGTCCTCCAACCTGTTCCCTCATCAGCAAATAGGCCCAAAGAAAGCACCTACCTTACAGAGGTGCATGAAGGATTAGATGAAATAATGTATATATAATCTCATCACAGTGCCTGGCTCAAAGTTAGTAGTATATCATAATGTGGCTTTGTAGTTCAAGTCCTGGTTCTGCTACTTAATATAGTTAGGTGATGTTGAGCGAGCTACTAATTCCTCAATCTCCCCCTTTCCTCTTCTAAAAAGGTAGGGTTTAATAGATAATTGAATAGTGGTGGACTTTTTTCATTCAACAAAATGTATTGGATACAACATCTCTGTTCTTTGAGAAGTCGCATAAAAATGTTATTTAACAAGTTCACGGTATTTATGTGCTCGAGATTATAAGTTTTACAAATATTAACTCATTTTATCTTCATTACAACCCCATGAGTTAGGTACTTTTATCATCCTCATTCTATGGATGAGGAAATTAAGGCAGGGAGGTTAAGTGATTCACCCAAGTTCTCATGGACAGCAAGTCATAGTATCAGCAATCAACCCAAGGCAGTCTTAACTCCTAAGCTTGGCAACAACCAGTATAACTGTCTGACTACAGGCAGAAAAAGGCCAAAAGGGCCTGTTTGGAAACAAAGTCTGAAGGCAGGCAAGCTGCAAGAAGTTTAGTAGAGCAGGACTTAGAACACCTGCTGACAGCTTTCTTTTTTTGAGAGTCTCGCTTTGTTGCCCAGGCTAGAGTGAGTGCTAAGGCGTCAGCCTAGCTCACAGCAACCTCAAACTCCTGGGCTCAAGCAATCCTGCTGCCTCAGCCTCCCGAGTAGCTGGGACTACAGGCATGTGCCACTATGCCTGGCTAATTTTTTCTATATTAGTTGGCCAATTAATTTCTTTCTATTTATAGTAGAGACGGGGTCTCCCTCTTGCTCAGGCTGGTTTCAAACTCCTGACCTCAATCAATCCGCCCGCCTCGGCCTCCCAGAGTGCTAGGATTACAGGTGTGAGCCACTGCGCCCGGGGCCCTCAGGCTGGTTCTGAACTCCTGACCTCCCACCCACCTAGGCCTCCCAGAGTGCTAGGATTCCAGGTATCAGCCGCTGCGCCCCGCCATAATTCTTAAACTACAACTTGGAGGTCAGGTGAAAAATGCATGTTATTTCTGTCCAGCATTGGTATTACCCAATCCCACCCTGAGAATGAGTTGAAAACTCTTAATTCCACTGCTTGTTGGGGGAAAGCTACTATTCATATTACTGAACATTTACACTTCAGAGATGGTTTCCATTTAACCAGCTCCCACCTTCACACACCATCTTTTTTTGAGACAGTCTCACTGTTGCCCAGGCTAGAGTGCCGTGGCATCAGCCTACCTCACAGCAATCTCCTGAACTCAGGAGATCCTCCTGCCTCAGCCTCCCGAGTAGCTGGGACTACAGACATGCACCTTCATGCCTAGCTAAGTTTTCTTTGTTTTTAAGTTGTCTAACTAATTTCAATTTTTTTAGTAGAGACCGGGTCTTGCTCAGGTTGGTCTTGAACTCCTGAGCTCAAATGATCTGCAAGCCTTGACCACCCAGTTACGATTACAGGTGTGAGCCACCGGCCTAGCCGATCATCCTCCAGGCTCTTAAGACATCCACAGGGAAGCCAAGTGCCACAACTAACCACTCAAAATCCAACTTTACCCATAACCTTCTGCCTGTGCCCAGTGACTTCTAAATGGCCTAAAGGCTGTTCCACATGCCCCTACCCAACATTACCTTCCAGATGGTTTCCCACTAGTCCCCATCCTTCAGGGCCTTAGTTTCCTACATTGGCAGCCAGTGCCAGGTGTTTGATAAGGCCTCCATTGTGACTCAACTCTGTCACATCATGAGGCAGGCCAATTCTTAGGTTCAACTGCATTACTCAGAGGTAGCACCAGACTAACCAATATACCAAGTGTGGAATTTACACCAAACCTCCCAGTCCTGCTTTCCTATATGTTGTGGCAAACTAAGATAGGTATATGCATAGCAACTAATTCTGTGTTCAACCCAGACCATGTCCAGCAAGAACACCCTTAAATGCACCGCAAGCGCCTGCCTTAATATATACCTTCCAATCTATTAAGGGAAATCACAGCCAGGTTCTTATTGAGCTTAGCACCTAACAGGCATTTTCCCAGGTAACAAACAATTGCCATCATAAGCTGATCACAGACTAGAATCACAGCAACTCTTAGTGTTGAACCAATCAGGCTGCATGCAGTTTTCATAAGCAGTACAATTCAAACTAAACCTCACAGCATTTATTTCCATATATAAATGAAACACACATAGCCATCTTTAATTCATGTAAACACTGGTTTAATATACTTTAGACAGGTTGTTAGGCAAATTACAAATAATTACATTAAACAAATATCAAAACCAAAACACCCCCCATGTGACATGTATAATAGCTTGTTTCCGCACATTTTATACTGGTCACTTAATTACTTATGAAATCAGGTGTACTTGTGAATGGGAAAAAAACCTAAATTGACTAGCTTTCACTTCACAAGCATTGACCATAGCTGGCAACATTCAGCTCCTTCTGGAATTAACTGGAGGCATAAGACTGAGTAATCTTTCACCTCTCATGGGGTGACATGAAAATTTGAACTTGTAACCAATTCCATAGGAATCAAAAGTCTTTAACATTAGAACATGCTTTTCTGTTCAAAGGGCAGTTTTTAAAAAGGCATCTTACATGTGTTTGCCTTCTGTTAAAAAATAAAAAAAATAAAAAATAAAAAAAAATAAAAAGGCATCAAATATGCCCCAAATTTTTCCAGGCATGTGCAAGAAAGATCCAAACTCTCTTTGTTCAAACAAGTAAGTCAGTTTACCAGCTCTTTGCTAATTAAAGGATGCACAACTAAATATTGTCAATGCCCAATGGTGAAGCACAGCTCCTCTTCTTTCCTAAAGGAAAACAAACAATGATTAGACATCCGAAGATCAGACTTTCACTTGAAATTTTGATACACTAGACATGTTTCCTGCATGGTTTGTCTCCCCAGTCATTGTCCACAGGACTCTGGGAAGTCGTAGGAATATGCAGGCGCAGACACAAAGCCCAGCTTTATCTCCAACGTTGTGGAAAGGGACTGTACGTCACGGGGCAGAGCCCTATGCTCCCCTATGCCACCTGGACAGAGCCTGGGCAGAGTGACCTCCCAGGGTATCCACGTTGGATCACTTGTGGTTAGTGACAAACAATATTGCTAGATGGTCACCCCTCCACACATTTTCAAGGCCTATATTCTTTTTCTCAGACTACACAGGCAGAATAAACTTGTCTGAGTTCCTAGGGTCCATTAGGGCTAGAACCCCTGCCTCCCTTTACCTATGTACTGAGCTGATTAATAAAAATTCACAGAACATGAACGTACACTTAAGAAATTATGTCACTGTAACTATAAAAACGTACCAAAGTTTATACTTGCATATAACAAGAGTTTTGAGCTCAGAATGATGTCTTAGAGACAGATCTCGACTAAGGAAAACAAGGGTCACCTCACTCCCATTTCTTACAGAAACTGTTCAAAAGCACTGGCAAGACAAAACAATTCAGAGACTTACTTACCCCAAAGAATTATTTGGAGTCGTTAATGAATTCTGCAAAACAAGATATTAACCTATCAGTAAGTGAAAATAACTGAAGACGAATCAAGATCAAGATTGTGCACTCTAGACAGCTGTCTCCTGCATGGTTTGTCTCCCCAGTCATTGTCCACAGGACTCTGAGAAGTCGTAGGAATATGCAGGCGCAGACAACAAAGCCCAGCTTTATCTCAACGTTGGTGGAAAGGGACTGTACGTCACGGGGCAGAGCCCTATGCTCCCCTATGCCACCTGGACAGAGCCCGGGGAGAGTGACCTCCCGAGTGTATCCACGTTGTAGAGTCAAATTTTACAGACAACTTTGCATCTAATTGACAAAGTTTCCCAGGATAGCCAAGCTACCGCAGTCTCTAATATCCAAAACCGCTCCAAAAATTCCGTTTCAAAACGGACCATCTGTTGATGGACTATCCTGAATGGCTAAGTTAAAAAAAAAACAAAACTGGATCATGTCACCTATCGGCAATCTTAATTTTCAGACATCCCAAACTAAACTAAAAATCTCAGTACTCTGCGCAAGGTAATGGCAAAAGCACAATTGACCCCACGAGCATGTGGGGTTGTAGAATGTCCTATCCATTACAAAAGACAAGCAGCAGCAGAACTTGGAGCCATTTGCCTCGAAATTACAAAAATCCTCAAACACGAATGGGGATTGAGGACAACACGTCCACTAAGAAGATAAACAGCTCAACAGGCAATAGTGGAGAACCGTGCAAGCGGTGCTGCACCTTCAGCGTCCGGGCCAGTCGGTGGCAGCCGCGCGGGCCTGGGTCTCCACGGCCCGCATCCGGCCCAAACCTGCTCGCACGTAAGTGCAGTGGGCTTGGACGCCCCTGAAGGCAAACTCCCTCAACAGCACGAACCTCATGGGAAAGGCTGGTTGCCAAACCGAGGGACTCGGCTGAGGAGCTATACGGGCAAAGAGACTTACCAAACCGCATACTCCACAATAGCGAGTCGCCCTCCAAAAGACCGACTGAGCTCAAAGCATTCTTATTTATACTTTGTGAAGTACCCGGAAGTCAGGAAATGCCTAGTACGCCTGCGCAAGAACATGCGCAGTTAGAGAATCGGAAACTCGCTAAGGCTACTGGGAATATACTGCAGGCTGAGCTCCACCCCTACCTGTCTCTGGGTCCTCTCGCGACAGTTGAGCTTTCTCTTGGGATCTTGCCGGAGAATGTATTAAATAAATTGTTTTGTTTGTTTGTTTGTTTGTTTAAGACACAGTCCCCGCTCTGTTGCCCAGGCTAGAGTACCATGGCGTCAGCCTAACTCACAACAACCTCAAACTCCTGGGCTCAAGCAATCCTCCTGCCTCAGTCTCCCCAGTAGCTGGGAATACAGGCGCGTGCCACTATGCCCAGCTAATTTTTTCTATATATATTAGTTAGCCAATTAGTTTCTATTTTTAATAGAGACGGGATATAGCTTTTGCTCAGGCTGGTCTTGAACTACTGACTTGGAGCGATCCTCCCACCTCGGCCTCCCAGAGTGCTAGAATTACAGGCTTGAGCCACCACTCCTGGCCAATGTATTAAATAAATTGCAAAAATACATTTGTGGGTATGCAGATGGATAGAAAGTTTACTTCTCTGCAATCACTGCACATAGTCTGTAGGATATGCCATTAAATAAACTAGTAAAAAAAACCCTTTGGAATAGTAAGTCTGCAAAGTAGAAAAAGACATCTAGAGAAATGCAGAGTCTCAAAAAAATTGATTTTGCCCTGTCACTAGTGAAGGAAACATTTTCTAAATGCGTAGGGAAATAGGATGGAAGTGCTCCTAGACAAATTGGCTAAAATTAAAAACCTCCTATGCAAAATAGTGTGAATGTACTTAAAGCCACTAAATTATACACTTAAAAACTGGTTAAAATGGTAAGTTTTATGTTATGTATGTTGTACCACACACACGAACCCTCCTAATTTAAAGAAAGCAAGTAGAGAATGCTTAAGATAGATATTATACATGAAATGTTGCAAATGTGACAGAGTTTTGAGTAGGGAGTTAGGTGAATATTGCATAAATTGATAGCTATCACAGCTGGACTATACTGAGAGGAAGCGTTTATGGTGTGTTTGGAGCTTGAGCATAGCTGAACAGTGGAGGTTCCTGAAAGGTGGCAAATCCAAGAGAGTGTGGAAACTCTTCATCTATATCCTTTGTAATAACCTTTATAATAAACAGGTAAACATACATTTCTTCATTTTATTTATTTGTTTGACAGAGTCTTACTCTGTCTCCCAGGATAGAGCACAGTAGGGTCATCATAACTCACTGTAACCTGAAACTCTTGGACTCAAGTGATCCTCCTGCCTTAGCCTCCTGAGTAGCTGGGACTATAGGTGAGTGCCACCACACCAGGCTAATTTTTCTAGTTTTTGTAGAGATGGGGTCTTGCTCTTGCTCAGGCTGGTCTCAAACTCCTGGCCTTAATTGACCCTCCCACCTTAGCCTCCCAAAGTGCTAGGATTACAGGTGTGAGCCACTGTGCTCCACCCCACATTTTTTCATGGAATAACATTTTATTTGAAAGAATGGCTAACACCTTTTCCAACTACATATGTGTGAGAGACTTACACCAAAGTCTTAAACTATATACTTTAATAAAAACAACATACGCCAACAGATTGAATGTAGAAGTACCGTGTTTCCTTGAAAATAAGACAGGGTCTTATATTTATTTTTCCTCAAGAAGACACCCTAGGGCTTATTTTCAGGGGATGTGTTTTTTTTTTTAAAGTACAGTACAACAATCTACATTTATTCAAGTATAGTTAAGTCGTCTTCTTCTGGAACATCATCATAACTCTCCAAATCCCGAATTCCATCCTGAATTTCTTGCGACTCTATTTCCTTTAGAACCATTGGCCCCAATCTCTCATGTGGAGCAATAGAGCTCTCATGGGGCAGATGAGAAGGGTTGCTCATCTTCTTTACCGCTCCGCGACGAAATGCATGGGTTGTGCAGATATGCTGTGTAGCCACAGCTATCACTAGGTCTTATTTTTGGGGTAGAGCTTATATTGCACAAATGCTTAGAAATCCTGCTAGGGCTTATTTTATGGGTAGGTCTTATTTTTGGGGAAACACGGTAGCTAAAAGAATTGAACTGCCTTCTATTAAACTAGACATTAAAGAGATCTGCAAAAAATGTAAAACAATGCTACTCTTCTATTTTCAGAGAAGTTTTTTCAT